ATATATATATATATATATATATATATATATATATATATATATATATATATATATATATATATATATATATTCATGAAAGTAAAGCATCTAATTCTATTTACTGTAACATCATTAATTTTACTCACGAAAGCATAAAAATAATGGATCAAAATATAATTTTAACATCCCAATTATGTTTTCGGTGAGGTTAGACGACAATGTCGTTGGGACTCGTGGATGGCTGCTGTGGATGAGGAGAGAGAGCGATGGTGAGAGTTGAGGCAAAGGGAGAGGAGGAAGAGAACAATGCATATGCCGATACTTTGCATATACATTTGTGTCGCTTAATAACTACGTTGATGAATCGGGCTTTGCCCTCAACGACCCGAGCGATCCATATGGCGATGGTGACGATTAGCCTCGCAAGCACTCCAGAGCATGCCTCAAGTCGTTGGAGCGTCGCTCAATTGCCCCTTTCCACTACCACATCTTACTTTGCGGGATGCTTGATGGCGAACCACAATGTAGTTGCGAGAGCCACTTGTAGTGGCAAGGTCGTAGTCGTTTCCTAGTGTGGGCCAACCACGCAGGTCGTCGCTTTCATGCATCGTCGTCTACCCCACAGCCCCATCCTTCGGCTCCAACCTAGTATGATAGCCTCCACCCTCTCCTCAACCATCATGCATTACTGCTTTGTGGCCATCCGTCAAGAATATATGGGCTTCTTTGCCTAAGGTGTCACTATGAACTAAGAGGTGGAGAGATAAGAGCTAGATGACAAGGAGACTAAGGAGTACGAAGGGGATCCAAAAGGATCGAGATCACATGAAGTGCAAAGGAGGTGGACCCATCGTAGACTTACACCAGACACGTGACATCCAGCATCGAGGGAGTGGCAAGCGGCATAAGTGACCTAGCAAACGTGATGAGTCGAAAGGAAGTTGGCATCGTGGACGATAATGTTGTAAGCCCAATAAAAAGGAAGACCACATACGGCTTGCAATAGACTATCGTCGCTTTGCATCGTCCTCTTCCTCCTCTCCCTTTGTCTTACCTCTCGTTGTCGCTCTCCCTCCTCATCCATAACAACCACCATGACTCTCAGCAACATCATCGTTCGTGACCATTGAAAACGTAATTGAGATGTTGAAATTACTTTTTTGTATATCATTTTTATGCTTTAATCGATAAAACCAATAACATTTACATAAATAAAAATAGATATTTTATTTTTATTTCTATAAAAAAATTAATATAATTTTTTTAAATCTAGACATCGAAATATTAAAGAGGATTGACTATATCGATAATTTACAATTAACCCGTTTATATATGCGGAATGTCAATCGACGCTTAATATGTTTGTTTATTTGTTTGCTGACGTAATATACATATGTACGTACGTCAGAGAGAACGAAGGGGAGAGGGAGGCGGGGCAATTAGTAGGGTTTGTTAATCAGATGAACCATTGAATGGGGGCGGGACGACGACGGATGGAGATGGCAGCGGCGATATCGCTGGACGGGGTTCGGGACAAAAACGTGATGCAATTGAAGAAGCTCAACACCGCCCTCTTCCCCGTCCGCTACAACGACAAGTATTACGCCGACGCTCTCGCCTCCGGCGACTTCACCAAACTCGGTCCGTCCCATCTCCTCCCTCTCCTTTCCTGGATGCACTCTACCGTTATCTTTTCTTTGCTTTGATCTTTCCTCCTTGCTGCTCTGGTGGTGGTGCGTGAGATCTTGACGCGGGTGATCGATCTGTTTTCTAACTCGTCATCTGTCGTCTCACCTGCTGATTCTGACTCATCATCGTATCGGATCAACAATGCATTTGGTTGGTGCCTATTAGTTTCTTGATTTATCTTACCAGGGGCTTATTATAATGATTTAACTTCTTGATTTGTCTTACTTTGGTTTCTTATCAAGCAGCTGCATGCTGTCGCTTTGAGTTTTTATTGCTTGGTTTCTTTGTTGATGATAAGCTTATGGGGAGGGTTTCCGATCATAGCTCCAAAGAAGTATCTTCTTTCGGGCTTATCTTGAAGAAATTTGTTGGGTGTTCCCGATTGTAGGGGTTCAAACAATATTCTTTATTTACCATGTTTCTTGGTGCCGTGAATATTGTGGTTTTCTTTCTGCGTTTACTGAATGAACTCATCTTTATAAATGGCCTCTCACTTTTATTTGGTCCCTAAATTTCATAATTGTGTTAATTTTGCCTGACTATATATTCTCATTATGCTACTTCATATGGATTTCAAAGAGTTTGAATGCTTGGATTTCCAAAAACATGTGGACATTTGTGGGCAATCAAATTAAGAGAGTGAAAAAAATCTTTATAGGAGAATAGGTATTGGTGTCTTTGATGAAATTTGGTGATGTTGCAATAATAAAAACAACTTCTGCAAAGAGTGTAAATTATAGAGCTTTATACCAATGCAATAATGATAACCTTTAATTGGTTTTTTTTTTTTTAAAGGAGTTGCTAGGAATACTTAATATAAGGAATATGATGGGTCTAAAATAAGCTAAGAACTACAGATGTGTATGAAGACACATGCTTGCTAAGAGGAAATAGTTCCTATAAAAGATCTTTGAGGGTAAGGAGGCCAAAGAGTTACTCCATAGTTGTTGAATAAAAATTGCATTTGCAGCCTATAGACTTGGAGTTAGAAATAATTATGTGACTAGGAAACATGAAATTGTTTGAAAAATTAATGCAAATGCAAAAAATAGAAGCATTTGATGATAATATAGATTAGAACATAGAACCTAATACCTATTAACGTGTTTTATTAATTGAAGAAGGCATTTTGGTACTGATATATAATAAGGAGAACATAATTATTTCATACTATTAAATCTTGATAGTGATTAAAGAAATATATGAAGAAAGGTGTTGATCCTATTTTCTTTTTATACTATTACAGATAGCATTTTCTGACACTTTCATGCTTTTGTAGCTTATTTCAGTGACATATGTGTTGGTTCCATTGCATGTCGACTCGAGAAGAAGGAAGGAGGGGCCATCTGTGTTTATATCATGACCCTGGGTGTTTTGGCACCATATCGTGGGCTTGGAATTGGTAAGACTTTAAATGTACGATCTTAAAATTATAGATCACCTTATATCTTTAGAAAATGTTGTAATTTTTCCTTATTTTATGCTGTGGATATATATGTGCATGAACAGACAAAACACATAGATAATGATGATATCTAAGTATGGGGGCTGTGAAGAAAGGGAGGTACCACATACAGGTGTAACCCTTTCTCAAATAGCAGCAAGGAATACTACTAGTCAAGATCTAAAACGAAAAAGAAGAAGAAAACAAGGTGGAACATAGAAACTTCTATAGAACTTCTGAAAATACTTACAAGAACCTAAATTCTAATACTGGGCTTGATTATTTTGGACTTGGCTGATCTACTGGATATCGTACCTAATTAGAGGTAGGATGATGTTTTAAGCTAGGATAATCTTATTTTATAACATTAAACTCTATTAGTCTTATTAAAACTCTTCTAGATGTGACCAAACTATTTATAATTCTATCTTATCCACTCTTTACAAGATAAAAGTTCTTAGAAACTCCAAAAGATATAACATTAATCTTTACACTCTCCTTAAAATATAGAGATTTAATAAAAGGATCTGTTGTATTTTGCTCTTGACATCTATGACGTCAATGATTCTGTCAAGCACCTTTTCCGCATGAAAGAGTATTCAATCTCAACATCTTTAGTTCTTGTATGATAATTTGGATTTGAAGTTAATTTTAAAGCATCTTGATTGTCACACTGTAAAATAGGTGGTTTGCAAATACGAAAGCAAACATCTTTGATAAAACACTTTATACACTCCTAAGTAGTAAGCAAAGAAGCCTTGTATTATGCTTCTGTGATAGAGAAGTGTAGTAAAAACAACATTCAAACGTAGATATCTGATTATCTTGTTCACTGTCAAATCAGCATTTTTAAAATCACA